TTGATTGTCTTTACTCCAAATATTCCAGCACATGATAGACAAGATAAATGATACTCAGCTTCAGTATTATTTCAGTGATTTCACAAACATCCCAGCTACTGTCTATAGAGAACATCACGGAAGTTTGTTCTTGTTTAGGGTTTTGAAAACATCCTAATTTGAGGCAGGTCTCAAATTATTGTCAAAAATGCTGCATGTAATAACTTATTATAAATACATTTTGAGAAGAACATATAGAATTAATTTTAAATATGGAACTGAAAAAAATGCAGATAAAAATGTTCTGTCCGGCATGTGTCAGAAACTACCAAAAGTCTTAAAATGACCCATATTCCTGCTTAGGAGGGATAAACTGAGTATTTGAAATGCTAATTGAACTGGTGAGCTCCAGGAGCATTCTGGAGGTGGTGTCTCTTACTTTTGATTTATTTTGTTCAGAAACGATTTCCCTTCAATTGATGGGCAGATGACCCACTCAGAAATGTCAGGATTAGTAAAAGTTTGAAAGCAGGTCATTAAAAAAAAAAGATATGAATAATGGTGAAGATAAAATGCATCAAATCCTTAGAAGGTTTTGGCTATCTCCAAACAAGACACATTTGCTTCAGTTAAATTGTGTTCCTGTTGAGAACAATATCGTGGTGGCAGAGCTTTAACTTAATTGCCTTTTGCTGTTGAAAGCATGGATTGACTATCTTCAAGATTCATAGATCAACACTCTTGTGATCAACACTACTTTTCACAGATTGAGTTTTGAAGAATGCAGAGAATTCTTTTCTTTGGCAGATTGGAGACCCACGTTCCAGTCCTAGCTCTGGTATTCTGGTGGCTGTAGTGACTGGGAGAATCAGTTAAGCTCTTTCAGCTCAGCTGCCTCAACTTTAAGAAGGGATAATGATATCAGTCCTGCCTTATAATAATAGTGATCATTTCCATTTCTAAATATCTGCCATATGTTTGGTTCTTGCTGTTCCTTTGGCATATGTTGTCTGTAAGTCCCTCATCCATTCTGCAAGGAAGGATTATCATTCATGTTTCACAATTGAAAGAGTTGAGGCTCAGATTACTTAAGTAAACTGCCCGAGGTCACAGAGCTAACAAGTGACAAAGCCAGGATATAAGTCTTTATATATAAGCGAGTTCGCAGTGCCCCTGCCATGGGCATTTTGAGGGTCATTTAAAATGACATGTGAAAAAATGTTTTGAAATAATAAATTTCTCTAAATGCATGTTACTATTATCACTATCATTTATTTATTGAGTTGCTTATAAGTACTTAGTGCTTATAAGTCAAATTTCGTTTGGGATTAACTATGGGATTAGATATTTTCCCTAATGTAGTATTGTATAGGTATATTATAAATATTCCAAGTAGAAAACTCTTTTGGATCAGTTTCTTTTAGACCATTGTTTGGAGAAATTTTTTTTGGAGTAGCAAATTTACTCATCAAAAGTGAATGTTTTGAGTAACAAAAACTAATCAGATGTAATCTAACTTTCAGAATCAGCAGAAAAACCCTTGGAACTATGAAAGCTGTTGGAAAAACTCCAAAGATGAGAGAAATATACTATAGGGTTTAGCTTATCTGCTGAAAATTCATGTGTTCACAAATGCTCCAGACCAGCGGTTCAACTTCCTCTGTCTCAGTCTTTGCTGTTTATTTTTAGAGTCTACAATGAACAATAGGGTTTCTGAAATTTACTTGAAGAGTTTATCTTTGATTTAGAGGTATAAGATTTCCTGTGTGACGATGGCTGGGAATCCACACAGCTCTCCTAAAATAAGCACCAAGTTTTGGAAAGAATTTTCTCTTATGGGAAGCATCCTCTTCCCAAAGATCGACACCAGCATAAGATAGATAACCACCCAGCCCTCAATCTCCCACCCAAGGAGGAAGCGGAGGAGAATCAGTCTGTTAAGAAGACAGGAACTGGCCTTTAAAATAGGTTAACATTCAAGACAGACTTTTCCTTTGGTCTTTTGGAAGAACTGGTAATGTCACAGTGAAAGTCCACAAAATTCTGTAGAGAAGTCAGCTGAGCCCAGAAATGTGCTATTCTCTATAATTTCCTCAGCTTGCTTATGTACATGTTTGGGTAAAAAGGCCTACATAGGAAGTAGTGAGGATTAAATGGTATAATTATGTGTAACTCCAGGCACAAATCAATCCCCCTGTTGAATTCTAGACCATTCTAAGTAGTTTTCCCTGTTGTTCTTCAAATCTCACTGTGAACTATTTATTCTCTTGGCCCATATAGATATTAGAAAAATGCTTACAAGTTGAGAAGTGATGGAGAGGCTGGCTTTCCAGCATCACTAAGCATTTGTGTTGGGTGAAGTGTGGCCTTTGTTTGGGTTTGGCAAAGTTTCATGATGGGACTAGCGTATTACCGAGTTGGATGGCCAACTGGCTGCTTGTCTTTGGTTATCTTAGTGGAATGCATGTAAGGCTGCATTTCTTCTTCAGGTTCTCCTTTCAGGGATTTGGACATATCTGGATCTCTCCTGGATAAGACAGGAGCCCATCTGTGAAGCTAGGACTATTATATGGTCAGGCTCAGTTTTCTTCGGCTCAGAGCCTGAATTTGGCTGAATCTGAGCAGACAGGGTGGAATAAATTAAGCTAATTATGCAAGTGCTATTTGTAAGGAGGAAAGCTGGACACCAGCCCTGCTTTGCTGTTTGCATTTGGTCATGTTCTTTCTTGAGCAGGGGAACAAGAGGGCAGAATAACATTGTCCCTGAAGCCCTTAGCCTATAGCAATCAGATCAGTCAGTAGTAGGAAGTAAGATGCTGGCCAGTTGTGTGGCTCAGCCCTCTTTGTGTAAATTCCTGGGTCAGGGTGAGGGTATTCTTGCCATAATGCTCTTTAATATGACTTTGGGACTTGGGAGGCAAAATCAATGTCCTAAGCTCTAGGGACTCAACTTGGGCTCTGCTTTACCTCTGGCCAGTGTCCTCTAGTGGCAAGAGCTCCGATGCAGGAGTCAGGAATTATTCTTTTCCTGCTGATTTTAGACAAGTTACTCATTTTCCTCTGTGTGAGGGCATCTCTAAGCCAGGCCTCAGCACAAACAATCTAGGATTCTTGTGGTCTGCCTCTTCCTGGGGCATAGAAGTGTGTCTGTGTGTGTGTGCGTGTGTGTGTGTGCGCGCGTGCTTGCCCACATCAGTGCTCAGTCCCCCTTTTCTTGGAATGTTCCTCCAAACTGCTCTTGGCCCCTCTTCTATTATCCAAATTTCTCTGTGCAGAAGAACAAGATTAAGTCTGAATGGATCATTGTTTCTGGTAAGATAAACAACAGCTGATAAAGTCAGGGGCTGACCTATTTCTGAAGCAGACAACCAAGGAGAAGTTTATGGTTTTCTGTTCTTTAGACTTAACCAGTTTTTCTTCTTCGAACATATTTTATGGCACTTGACTAATCACCCTGGTAATATGTTGCCGAAGTTTTCTTGGCTCTAAATCAAAGTCTCCAATGTACTAGCACATAGGCTCTGGAGGGCCCAGACAACAAGAAAACAGCAAGGGGTGGGAGAAAGCACTCATGAAAAATTTAAAAGTTAGATTCCAATAGAAAGATAGAGAATGGGGATAATTAATTTCTGGAAGAATTCAAGTGACCAATACATAAAAAAAAGAGGCCTAATCAGATAAGAATAGGAATGCTTCTACTTCCCCTTGTGATTTTGGCAGAAATGTAAATGGTTGGTGCAACCTGGTGTGTTGGTGAGTTGGAGGAACTGGGTGTACTCTTGCAGCCACCTGCTACCACCTTTCAGGAGGGCAGGTGGATCAGGAGTATTGAAATGTAAAATGGACAGCTCTTTGCTCAACAGTTTGCAGTCTGGGATTTATCCTAAGGAGGAAACTACACAAAAATGAAAACACATTTATGTAGTATGTTTGCAAATGCGTATATAAGGGGAAAACTAGAAATAACATCAGTATTTATCAATAGGGTACAGGCATGGTGAATTATGGCAAATATCTGCCACAAAATCTGAAATCTCATGTATTCAATAAAAAAATAGTGCAGTGCTTCAGATATTGATGTGGAAAATGGAGTGATACAAAACAGGTTGTTAGAACTGTTACATTTATATAAAGTTATAATAGTAGATGCATGAGAAGTTGTTCATTTAAATCTTAACAGGAAGGATTGTATACTTTTACTGTTTCTGATTTGACTTCAAGTTGTGCTGCTTATCTATTTTTCTTCCTTAGAAAAATTTATTTCAACTTTCTTATTCTTGGTAAAAATGGGGATAACAATACCAGCATCTTACAGGTCATTGTGAGAATTGCAGTAAAACCCATGTCAAGCACCGGGATGGAGTAAAAACAGTCTTTGATTTTTTTTTTTTCACTCAGAGTCTTCTTCTTTCTTTCATTATTTGAGTACAAACAGCTGTGTTCATATGCCCAAGATTCAAAGAGACATGGGCTTTGAATAGCTCCCATTTATTTTAATGCAGGAAGAGCCCTAGTTCCAAATATGTGGAAAAGTATTTTCCTAAGGCTGCAGTCTGTCAGAAAATGGCCATATTGAGTCATTGTTTTCTGAAGCCAAGAGAGGAGATTGAATGACTGGCACTGATGGGCGGCCTAAAATAATACCTCATTCTTGTCATCCTTAGGCAGCTTTAAGACCAAGTGATTTTGGATAGATCTACAGTTTTCCTCTTGGTTTGCAAGAACAATGCTTTTGTTGTTTATGCTCTTAAACAACAGAGCTTTGTCCTATGCTCAGGAGCATGCAAGCCAAACAGAAGACTTCCTGAAGTCCACCCCATTTATTGAGAGGTGCGGATTCCAAGTGGCAAGTAGACAGGCTCAGCATCAGCCACCTGCAGAGGACCCACATCATCAGCAAAGTGAAATGGCCAGGTCTCATGGGAGAACAATAGCCAATTGGGTTTGGGATTCAGTTCTCTGATACTGTGCTAAACTTGGCGGAGTCAGCCACTTTACAACTCTATTCACTCAGGGCCCACTTTGCGCTATAAAACAAACAAATAACTTTATTTTGCTTTCTGAGTCTGAGTCTTACAAATAAAGGCGATATTTGAATGTTTTCACTTTGGAAATTTCTGGTCCATGGATCATTATTTTTCATATTGTTGTGTAATCTTTTCGGAACTCTTGACGCTGTGGAATAGAAGATAATTGGGGTTGAAGAGTTTACATTAATGGTTAAAGGATCATTAGAACACAAATTAGCCTCTCTGTCCTGTACCCCCACTCTCATGTCTCTTTACTGTACTCAAATAATTCCGGGCTTGCTACTATGCTGCCACACCTATGTGTAATTTTCACTTAGCAATAGGTCAAGTCTAAGTTGAGTGTATAAAGTTGGGAACTGATTCTGAGTCTTCGTGTTGAGACCTTGCCATGCTCTAGGCTTTGTGTTAAGTGGTTTGAATTCCCTGTCTCAGTGTTTCTATAGGACTGGGCACCAACGACTGGCTTTACAAGAAGGGGCAATGAAAATGCAGTTTCCTTGTCTCTATTCTAGAACCATGGCATGAGCATTCTGTAAGGGGAGTCAGGTATCTACCATTATACAAGTTCCAGGGCCACTGTGAGTTTATAGTGCTCCACTCCTCTTATTTCTGTTCTTAAATTATCACAGTAAATGAATAAACAAAATAAAGTCCTATGGACTCTGAGACACAGAGCTAACCATATCTCTTTAGTTGCTTATCACAGTAAATGTGCTTCCAGAGCCAAATTACTTTGGGGGAATTCTATGGTATTCACTTTTGTTGTGAGAAATCTTTCCTTGCTTGGTGGTAGCCTGCACTCTGGACATAAAGAGGGACCATAGAGGCTATATAGCTTGTATAATGTGTGTAGCCCTGCATGGAGAAGTGAACCCATATCATTCTCCTTGACCCAGGACTATGCATACAGGAGCTGGCTTATGCCTGAGAGAGGTGGCTGATGTGGTGGTGTGATTCCCAGGCCCAGAAAGCCCTGCCTGCCTTCTGCATGTCTTCATTGTCATGCTCCATGGGGCCTGAAATATTCACTAGTGGTTTTTTTTTTTATTTGCTTCTCAGCTTTATTTCTGGAAAGCCCTATAAAATGAAATACCAGTTGGAAGGTAGCAGAGACATTTAATCATATTTTCACAGGCTAGTTTTATCTATGGCTCTGGGAATGGCTTAGAAAGATTCATCTGGTGAGAAGAGAGGGTAGAGGTCCCTTTGTGGGTCACTTTGGAGGAGGAAGCTGGTGAACACAGGGAGACTGAGTTTGGGGCAGGGGAGGGGGCAAAAGTAAGAGAAGGGCTAAAGATCACTAGACCTGTCTCCATTCTAAGGGTTACTATGTTAGTTGGCTTACTGTCACTGTAACAAAATACTTGACACAGGCTACTTAGGAAGTAAAGAGAGGTTTATTCTAGTTCAGAGTTCTACTCCAAGATGGGATAGCCACAGTGGTTTGGGATTTCAGCAGTGATTGCACATCATGGTGGGAGTACATCATGGAGTAAACTGAACACGAATCAGGAAGCAGAGAATGGGACCAGGGTCCCACAATTCCCTTCAGGGACATGTTTCTAGTGACCTAAGCACCTCCCAATACTGCTATCCTAGGACCAAGCTTTTACATATAGAACTTTAGGGGACACATCTGAACTAGAGCAGTTATTTTATTTCTTAAAATTCTCCAGCACCTCCCATGCTCCTCTTCTTCAGTGAATACCTGGTGCTGCGTAATGGTCCCTTTGGCCACCTCCTAGACACAAGCAATGTTTCAAGTGGTGACGCCTCAATGGTATGAATGGGTTCTGGGAGGGGGATTCCATGTCCAATTCTGTCACTGAACCAATTGAGGGAGAAGGCAGAGATAAAGACCCACTGCTGAGTCCTAGATACCCCTTAACCCCCAATCCTTCTTCTGCCAGGAACAGGATAAGTAGAATCAAAACAACTTAGCTTAGCTCATTCAACTCTTAGCCAGGCCCTACACAAAGCTTTCAAATATGTGATTATTTCTGGCAATCATAGTGGGCTTTACTGCATTTCTTTTTTTATATATATTTATTTTTCAGTTTTCGGTGGACACAACATCTTTATTTTATTTTATGTGGTGCTGAGGATCGAACCCAGCGCCCCACGCATGCCAGGAGAGCGAGCGTGTTACCGCTTGAGCCACATCCCCAGCCCCTTTACTGCATTTCTTTATCAACTTGCTGAGAAAGATCAGAGATGGTTCCTGCCTATAGCAAAGTTTGTCTCAGGTCTATTAAGTCTTAACATTTGATTTCATTGTAATTCTGATCTTGCCCTACATTTCATTTTTAGGCCTTTTTTGTTTGTTTGTTTGTTTTTGCTAAACTGAAATGTCCCCCAATTTGTTCAGTATTTGTCTTTTAGTGCTAGTTTATGTGGCAAGTGGTACAGATTCATTAATTTACTCAGCAGTGAGTAACCACCTTCTATGAAGAAGAGTGACAGGAAGGGCTCACAGTGATGGACATCATTGTTCTTGGTCTAGATCGTGGGTGCCAGGGAAGGGTGTGCTTAAGGGTGGGTATTTGTGTCAAAGCTGAGGATGTCAAAGCTCATGAGTGAGTGAATGAACAAGTGTGGAAGTCTATACTCCTTCCCCAGTGTACACATTTCTTGACCAAGCACATTATGTATTTTCCTTTTCCCTTCTCAGTGAGTCTGTCTAACTCTCAGTTAATATTCTGCCTCTCTGAAAAGTCCCTCATCGCTGAGAGGAGACGAGATAATTAGCTTCAATGTTCTTCCATTTTTAAGCTGGGAATTCAGCATGAATTCCAGACACAGTTCATGTATTGTGGATAATCAGCACAGCTATTCATGATAGGTAACTCTCCCTCTCTCTCTTTCTCTCTCTCTCTCTTTTTCCCTCTCCATTGGAATCTCTTTCGGTTAGCATACCAGGGATGAAGATTAATGACTTCCATTACTTTTTTTCCTTTCATGCAGGAATCTTTAACTAGCCTGAACTTTGTGCCAACTATCATATGTATCATATCGACTGCAATTACCCCTCTATGTCACGTCCTAGGTATGGGTCCTTGTGTGAAGCACTAAATGAAGGGCAGGGTGAAAAGTGTCAAGTTATAACCAGGCAGAAAACTGACAATTAACAAACAGTGACCTATCCACCTTATTGTGTTATTCCCTTGGAGGCCTCAAGAAACATGTGATGAGAATAGATATGTTTCACCACATCTACCTGTTTAAATAATTTACCTTTGTCTTGAATATTGTGTACATTTATTGTAATAAAATTAATAAACAAAATGATAATTTTATTGAACACTCACCATGTAATGGGCTCAGTTGTAGGCATGTATTTGCTCATAATCTTCACGCCAGTCCTAGGAGATAGCATGGCACCCTTTTACATTTGAGGAGACTGAGGCAAAGTGCTATTAAGTAGTTTGCCCAAGATCCTGCAGGAAAGGTTAGAGCTGGGATTTGAACCCAGGCAGTCTGGTTTAAAATTTTATGCCCTCAACCTCTATGTTCTACTGCTTTACATCTTTGCTTTTAGAAGCGAAGATATAATTTTAGCATGACATTAGTAATGTACCTCCCAAAGTTTTCTCTTACTAATTACATAATTACCAATTTTTGTGTATACCATGTCATAATACTTTAGAGAAACTTAGACACAGAACAAGACCACAGAAAACTGATCCTGTGTTAAGGTCTCATTACTTACAAGAAGAGTTTTGACTATGTGAGTTTAAAAATTGATAGTTTGTGTTACACTTAAGTGTAATATATTTTAGAGTCTTGTCACATGCATTATTAGTATGGTTCTGTATGTTCATGTTCTTAGGAGAGACTGAATTAATAATACACAGGGCTGTGTTGTGGCTTAGTGGTAGAGTGCTTGCCTAGCATGCATAGGCCCCTAGGTTTGATCCCCAGTACCACAAAACAAACAAACAAATGAACGAATGAATAAACAAACCAACCACTAAGAATTCCCCCTATGTGCAAAAGGCACAGTCATTTTCAGGTCTGTGTGCCCAGATAAAGTGATTTGTTTTCTGAACAAAGAATATAAGCTTAGTACCTAAAGTGACCTCAGACTCACATCTTTATTACTCATGATTTTTAATTTAAATTAAATTTTTTTTTTGTTAAGATGAGGCAAGTCTTCTCATTGACATTTTCCAAGCAAGTATTTTTCTTTCAGTTAACATCCTGAGATGCTGGCTCCCAGTGGTAGAGTTAGAACTGTCAGCTGCTCCCTACCAGGGAACATCCCACAGACTGGGGTTTCTTTAGCAGGTCTTAGCATAGTGAAAATACAGGGGCTATTTATCCATGTCACCTGGGATGGAGTTAATGCCCTGCTAGTCTTAATTGGTTTGATGTGCTGACATGGTGGGTCTGAATGTTTCCTATAATTTTCTCATGAGTGACTTTGGCTCCATAAACTAAGGGCTAGGCAAATTAGCTTGTGGGCCCAGAAATCATTCTTGGCCCAAGTCTGCAGAAACTTCTCAGTCAACCATAGCTGCTCTGATACTTGAGATTTGCTGACAATTCTTCATTCAGAAAAAGGTTTGCATTCCTGAGTTACTTTTCTGTTGGGGATCATCTTAATCATTGTCTCTGGGGTTAAGATCAAGGAAATAGGACCAAGAACTGAACTCAGCTGTTTGGGTGACTCTTGGATCCATGAGCTTCTTAGCCAGTATCTGATGCAATAGCTAACAAATATTAACTGATGGTGATGACGGGAAAGAGTTTCTCTAGCCAGAACCTGCTAATATAAGTACTAATGAATTGAAAAGGATGCCTGCTATAGCAGACTCTGACATGTTGCATTAGCAATTTTAGGCAAAAGAAGATTATAGTACCTAAAATCATATCTATATAAATATCTCTATCATATCTATCTATCTATCTATCTATATGTATATAGACAGATATAGATACAGATACACACACACACACACACATCAGTTCTTGCTTTGGTCATAGAATTGTGTTTCAATAGGGTATAGAAAATAAATCTCCAGGAAAATGCCCAGTTACAGGCACATGTCTCAGGTTTTTGTGATCATTATGATTCTAAGAGGGAAGGCAGTGCTGTTCTTTTAGAAAATTCTTATGAGTGTGGTTTGGGGTGAACATTAGTAACAAATGAACAGTTTAATGTTGAGTTAAACAAAACTTTTGGTGTTTTTAAGGGCCAAGGATCAAGCCAGGGGTCAGTTGAAAACTCAGTCACATGTCGACACAGAGAATGTTCAGAAGTTGTGAAAACTCAATTCCAAACTTGCCCTATGATTGTTGGCCATTGTCTTAGGCAGCAAGATAATTTTCTTTAAAGTTGTAGGTGGTGAGTTTTTTCTATGGGAAATTTTTGGGTAATGACTTACATAACACAGTTTAGAATATTCTTGGCTTAGTTGGTTGAAAATAGAGATTTGAATATGAGAGTGCAGGGGATTTTAATGGAATTTTATTAAGGGAGTGAAAAGCAGGGAGTTTGATTCAATGCCAGTATTCAATGCCAGTATTATCTTAAGGACTTGTTTTTCATTTTAGACTAAATAATCTGTATTATCTTTGAGTAAAAGGGACAACAGTGCTAATAGCCTGACTTTCTCAGAAGTTTCTCTTTCCATGTGGTCACCATAGTTAGCAGCACTGTCAAATAAATACAGGTTAAATTAAATAAAAAACTGTTTAAACAGAGCAGAAATAGTCTTCCCTGGCTAAATTGGACAATTAAAAGAATAAACCCTGGGAGGAAACTTCCAATGGATTATAATTTTTCTATTCTCTATATATTGTTGTTTTTTCTTCCTGGAGTCAAATCTCCAGTTGAATTTAGTCAATTATCTACAGCAAACAAAAAGTGCATAAATGTCTCTTCCGTTACTGCTGTTTATATTTTACCACTAAACAAAGCAAGTTTTTCTTTTTAGCTTTTACCTTTCGGAACTTATAAATCCAACAACACAAATGGAATATTGTGTAACTTCTGTTGTCACTTTGAAAGCATAATGACGGGATTTAGTTATTTAAAAGTTTACTGAAAAATTTTTTTTGTTGTTGTTGTTGCTAGTATTATACTTGCTACAAAATTTGTTAAAGAAACAATTTGCTAAGGACTTGGAAGGAAATGTCAGCAGGTAAAGAACGTTAAAGTATCCAAATTGTGTGGGCTTGGGGTTATGTGTATGTCAATCCTGTTCTGGGGTTATTGTTTATGCTTTCCTATATCAGTCACTTCTATAGTAATTTTGATTTAAAAATGTTTCCCACTGCTCCTTTAATAACTACTAATTTAGAAGTATGTTATAACAAATAACTGGCATAACTAACAGTTAAAATGTAATGGGAAATAAGGGCTGGGGTGTGGCTTAGTGGTAGAGTGCTTGCCTGGCATGTGCAGAGCACTGGGTTCCATCCTCAGCACCACATAAATAAATAAATAAAATAAAGGTATTTTGTCCATCTGCAACTAAAAAATATTGAAAAAAATGTAATGGAAAATAAGCAAGGTATTGTAAAGAAAATACATCAAACAAAACAAAAAAAAAAAAAGGAAAAAGTAAAACAAGAGCTAGTAAGTACAACCTGGACCATGGGGGCACTGTCACTCTCTCTTGTGATTCTGAAGGTATTCTACCCCAACCTTCCCACTGTGGAACATTCTTCTGTGCTCAGTGCCAAGAGTCAGAGGAGGAAGGCAGTAACTTCCCAGTATTCTCTCTAGGTGTAGTTATTTCCTCCCAGATGGGGAAAGCAGGCAGTTGTGCTCCTGAACCCCTTTCTCCCTCCTCCCTGCCAGCCCCATTTACCCTTGTTTCTGTGAATGAATGAAAAGGCTGCCCATCTGGAAAGGTAGCTCTAAAACACTTCTGGACAGTTCTCTATTGGCCTCTACAACTGATCATTTTAGTTTCAAGATTATTTCAGGAACATTAAGCCTCTCTCTACTCATATTTAATAAGAATTCATTCTACAAAAGCTTAGGAGAGAGAAAAGTGAAATAAAAACAAAGCCTAGTGAGTTGCCTAAGCTCCTTAATGTGGATCCCTTTCACCGAGCATTACTCCTAACTAAAAATAAAAAGGGAGATGAAAGTTACCTCGGTGTTTTGCTGCTGTGGTGGTTGCCCTCTGGTTTCTGGGGAGCCTCAGGTCCTTTAATGCCGGCAGCGCTGGACTGCCAAGCCAGAGGATCTTGCTCCAGGTTCCGTGGTGGTTTTGCCAGATCACCTGTCCTTTCCTTAGACAAAGTGATTTTTCTCTGGTCTTTCCAGGCAAAGTGATTCTAGATAAGCAGATCATTGTGTGGAATATCTCATCTACGTTGCTCCAGTGCAGCCCTTTCAGCTTTCCAGAGCCAGTTAGACTTGTTATGAGGAGTGAACTGATTGGCTGGATCTGGGCTCAGTTTCATAGATTATAGCCCGGCAGTCGGGGAAGCACAAGCCCTATAGTTGCTGTAGCCCAGAGGCCTGCCAGTTCCTGCTTTAATGCATATGTAGTTGTAATTGAGTTCTAGCACGGCCTTGGATGTTTCTGTCCTAAATAGCTGACATTGCATCTTCAAGACTGTGTGAGTAATCCTGACTTTTTTTTTTTTTTTTTTTTTAAGCGCAGTAAATTAATTACATGCCCCGGGAGGGAGTGATTGTAAGAGGAAAATACTGAACTAGCAGATGATTCGTTTTTAAGGTGCTGTAGTATATGTGTCAAGTTCAACGCAATGAATCTTAAAGCTTCCAGGACATGGCAGAGTTATTATAGCTTTTGGCCATGAATCATAGTCAGGCTGCATTTTGAAGGAGGCTGGCTGATGCGTTTGTTAGCCCAGTTTGTTTGCATGGGGTCTGTACTGTGGTAAAGCTCCAACACGAGCAGGTTAAACAGGATGCCGGTGTGTGAGCACCGAGGGCGCTGGAGTCAGGCAAGTTTCAAGGGTTTCCACCCCCATGGTCCAAAACTGAGAGACGATAATAAATCCTTTTCGGGACACAGGTACATAGCAGTTAGACACAGAAGGAGAAATGTGAAATGACAGCAGCAGTAGTTTTCTTCTCAGAAATCTGAGGCTAATTAAAGACATACACCATGAATAACTAGAAATTTTTATATGTACAAAAATGTTCTTTGCTGGTTCAGTTTATGTGGTAGAGCTGAATGGGAAACCACGAGCTTGTTTTTCAAAGCCTCCTGAGAAGTATATTAAACACACAAGGATACAGCCGAAACAGAAGCAAGTATGTGTGCTAGGATTTGTGGTGGAGCAGATCAAATGGTTCCAGGCAGTCCTTGTTAGGTTTGTGTAATTGTTGGGGGGGAAGCTCTCTTGATAACAGTTTTTGGATAAAGCTGGAGCAGCTTGAAATGAGAAACTACAGAGCATCAGTGTTTTATTATCATTGATAGCATATATTGTCAGACTGAGTAAAAACTGGTAAATGTAAGCAGTTCATATTTTACCTTTACATTATTACTGATTTTCTCCTAGCCTATAATAAAATAGGGCTTTTGCCTATGAAGTTAGTGATTAGAAATAAGTTTTCATCCTTATGAATAATTTTCATACTTTTCTTAATACAGTACCAAACTAGGCCATTTACAAAATATTTTTGAGTTGTTTTCCAGGTTGTTTTTTAATTTAGTTTTCCTTGTTAGACTTACATATTCAAATACATGTTATATATTTGTGTTATATACAAATTTCAAGCATAAATTAATTACATGCCCGGGGAAGGAGTGATTAATTGTTAAGAAGAAAATACTGTTGTGTAAAATATAAACTTCTAATATTTATAGTAATTCCTTGCCAATTACTTTTAAAAGAACATTGATAGACTCATTTATAGACTTATTTTTGGTTGCACCTATTTAAACAACTGACACAATTTAGCTGGCAGGAGAGAAATATTAGTTGTGTTTTCGCAAAATTTTGTTTTTAGATCACACTGGGAATGAGAATTTTATTGTTAAGAGAATTTTCATTTTCTGAAATGTTTCCCCTAAAAGGTCACACCAGGGGACCAAGTTCATAAAAAGAAAGAAGTAATTGACATAGAGTCCTTTTCGGTATCAACCAAATATATGTAAAATAGATAGTCTTAAAGAAATGTAAGTCTGATATATCCATTTAGAGAGGTATTTACTTAATGAAGAAATGGCATACTGAGTTCCTCTATTGAGACAGAATACCAAGTTCATTATTGAGTTTCTATGCCCATAGGTGCTAACAGGAATGGCTGACACATTCTTAGTTATCCAGTTATCTATTCCCAACTGACTGTATTAGTGGAAAAAAGTACCCCATTTATAAAAGGAATGTGATCTCATCTGTCCTGGCGGGTGGGGCCATCTAAGCGTAAGAAGTGGTGGGGTAGAAGGTATCTTAATGGAACAGGCTTCCTGGCTTCCCTTTATTTTCCTAGGCTAGGTACAGCTCTCTTAAGGTAGTTCTTACACTCCCTCTTGCCTTTTTCTGCCTTCATTCTTTAAGTTACCTTGCTTGGGCTATTGCTGATATGCATCAAATACTTATGCTTAATTTTCAAACATGAACCAGCTGCCTGTACAATTCAGAGGGTGTTTGAAACCTAGGGTGAAAGATCCGGGAGAGTCTGGTGGGTCGACACTAGGGGCTTTTGCTTCTTGCATTGGTGCTTCCTGTAGGTCCTTCAGCTCTTCAGTTTTCCTGGAGGTGATGGAGTCACATTTTTTTTCTTGTGAAGAGCAGCCCAGAAACCTTGGGTGTCCAGTGAGAGTAGGCTGTGGGCAAGATGCTGTGGATAAAGAAAAATATCTCTAAAACAGCAATAATTAATCTTTCTTTTCTCTATTTCTATTTTGAAAATTATTTTTCTCTGACTTTGGAAGTTCTTTTTCAGATAAACTTCTGAAAAATTATGCATATCTCTAAAGACAGATGGATCTGACAAAAGATATATCCAAGAAGGAATGTCTTACGTCACGAGGAGTTTGCTAAATGTTCATGAATACACATTGGCATTTGGAAACTATTAGCACTACCTACTAATGCAATGACATGAATCCAAGTTGAAAAAAAAATATTGCTTCTTGATTGGATTATATTTTCCATTTAAAAAAAGACTGTTTTTAGAAAAGTTTGCACTTCCCTAAGACATTTTTTTCCTGTGTTATATATAGGATGGATCTGATTGCTTAATCTTGCTGAGAATTGAATTATTTCTAGTTGGCCTTTTCAAAAGAGTTGCTTTCCCACCTTGAACATGTTTTAAAGAGAGTGAAGCAAAACAAATGAAATAAACATCCACCCTTCCCCAAGAAATAAAACATATCATGAAGGAGTTAAATGTTTTCGATTGGAGTCATTCCCTCCTTTTGTGGAGAAAGACATTATTCACTGGTGGAAGAGGAGCTTCAAGACAATCAGTTATTCCATCGTAATTATTTAAGGTCAATCAGTGATATTATTTCCCATTATATTGATCACCAGCCAAAACTGTGTTCCCTTGATTTCTGATTTCAAGAAGCAGATCATCTTAGTGAACTAGTCTGGTTGTCAGTAGGATGGATCATGCTTAGGTTATGAAATATTTCTAAGCCTTTCTCTATGTAAAATGAAAATAATGGCAGGTGTTCTGGTAGTTGATGGGATGGTGAATATTAGAACAACAAAGAGGAAGAGCTCAGGAGAGGATAGTGGAATGTATAATTTGTATTGTGCTCTACCACCATAAACAATATTATGATAGCTACTCATTGCACTAGGGCTAGTGTCTTTTATTTCTAATAGCATTTTCCCAGTAATGAGGAGTACTTTTTTTTTTTTTGGGGTACTGGAGACTAAACCCAGGAACACTTAACCATTCAGCCACAAACCCAGCCCTTTTTTGTATTTTATTTAGATTCAGGGTCTCACTGAGTTGCTTAAGGCCTTGCTAAAATTGCTGAGGCTGGCTTTGAACTTGTGATCCTCCTGACTCAGCCTCCCAAGCTGCTGGGATTATGGGCAGGTGCCACTGCACCTGGCATGAGGCATACTTTTAAAGCAAAGCAAGTCTTCATTGTTTGATCTTGAAATGTTATGAAGGCCTTTAGAGTCTCAGTCCTTATCTGTCCATTGCTTGAGTATTAAAAATACCAGTAGCTTTACTGTGGTAAGTAAATGTGGTATTGTATGTGCAAACACATTTAGTTAATTTCCCAGTGCCTTAGGAGTGTCACTTGTTGCAACTATTATTCTAATAAAAATATAATTTGTCAGTTTAAAAATGGTAAATATCAGGTACAATTTTTTACTGGTTTGATTAAATTTCTAAGCTGTCTGATTCCCTCAAAACAGGGTGAGTTTTTTGGCTAGGCTTGTGCCATAATTTTCCTTCCATGTAGATAAAACTCTAAGCCAACAGTTAGATAAGCATTCCTTTGCAGCCTGTGCTTAGCTGTTATTGTCAAGTTTAATGGGACAATGTTTCCTCATAGGAGAAAGTGAGTTAGAAAACAGAATGACAGATATATTTTTTTTATTCCTATCTTGACTCTATTAAATTTCATTAATAGGATAATCATGTAGGTTTTAAGTAAATTCTTATTCCTGGGTCTTTTCATCCTAGGAATAAAATGGAATGGTCAAAAATGACTTTCTGAATAATTTAGAAAGTCAGTCAGCAGTTTTTGAGTCCCTAAATTCTAGCTGGTTCTTCTCTGGAAAATCATTCAAATTTTGTAGCTGGCCACAGCTGTGTCCTATATTTTAGCTCACTGTTGTCATGAGTTTGATGACCTCCTGTCAGGGGTTTTGGTTCAGCTGAAGCAGTTACCCATGTCACCTGTAGAACCACTTTTTAAAAACGTGAAATAATAGAGGAAATATGCAACCATTGTCCTGGCTTTCTCATACCTTTGGAAAAATCTAAAAGAGCACCCCATTGGTAATTAAAAATTATAGGAAGTGAGTGCTTTTTAAACTTCCTAACAGCACTTTATTCATTCAGCAAAAATCAGGAGTTAGGAGCTAGACACACAAAGATGAATGAACAGGACAAGATTTTCTCAAGGAGTTTACAGCCTAGCAGGTATTTATTTCATGTCTGCAGAATTTTCTCAAGGTAATTCTGGAAGAGAAAGGATTAACTTTGGGATTACTGTTCTTCCCCTTAAAATATTTAATGTACTTTAACAAGTATATTATTATATATTATAGTATATGATATTGTTATGTCTATTATGATAATAATGATACTGAAGGAATGAGTGGCCTGTAGTATATACATGAAAATATGGGGTAGAAATATATACATTCTCTTATAAAATTGTAGAGTCTCTCACCTTATTTAGTCCAGTCACCATATTTTGTAGACAAATGGTGGCTTCAAGATATTACTGGTTTGTTATTTTATTTTTGTAGAATTAAGAAAGGCATCTGGAGTACAGTAGCCTCTTGTTTATCTGTAGTTTCAATTTCTATGGTTTTGGCTTCTGGAAGATTCCAGAAATAAACACTTCATAAGTTTTAAAGTGCACATGCTCTGAGCAATGGGATAAAATCTCTTGCTGTCTTGCTTCAACCTGCCCCAGATGTGAACCATCTGTTTGTCCAGTGTGTCCACACTGTATACACTATCTGTCCATCAATCACTTAGTAGCCTTCTTTGATATCAGATTGGCTGCCATAGAATTCCAGTGCTTTATTTCAGTAACCCTAATTTTACTTAATAATCATCCCAAATCAGAATACTAGTGATGTTGGCAATATGACAAAAAGAAACTATTGAAGTACTTCCTTTAAATGAAAAGGTAATAGTTCTCTAAGAATAAAAGATAGCCTGGGGAAGTTGCTAAGGAAGAACAAATCTATCTATGAAAATGTAAAGAAAGAAAAATAAATTTGTGCTAGACTTGTTATTATATCTCAAACAGCAAAAGTTT